CGCGCCTCCAGAAATACAACCAGACGTCCTAACCAATACGTAAGTCGCAAGTCGCAAGCCGCAAGTCGCAAGAGCTCACGGCACATCAGAGCCAAGTACACGCGGCAATTGGTGATCGTCCTGTCGTCGATGTGCTCATCTAGCTTGATGTCACACCGCCACAAATGGTTGTTGATGGGTACCCTGGTGAACACTGTGAAAGTAGAGTTGCTGTGCTTAGTCTCTGCGCTCAAAGTCTTGTGGCATGCCCGATGCGTGATGGAGTAAAGCACGCGCGTGTCGATCATCTGCCGCACCGCGGGTCATCGCCACTGCTGGTTTGGACCCCCAAGAGTTCAGAAACTTTAAAGAATCTACTTTCAATATTCCATATCATACATTGAAGGACAGATTTTCCGTTCGCAAGGAAATGCCGTTACCCGGAAGGGGGTCTGGCGGGATAGTAAACGTAACGGCGGCCGCGGCGTGCGCCCGCCAAGGTGCGTCCGCGCCACTGGCGCATGAATCGCCTGTGCGCACCGCACTCCATGTGTATACGACAATGCCCAATGTCTGCGTGCAACACAACACCACCTATGTGCACACAACAATGCCTCTGTACACCACAACAGCCGCATGCAGTGCAGCACCACGTCGCCCATGCACACCGCGCCGCTGTTTATACTATGCTTCTACGGACAACCGTTGTTGATCATAGAAATAACCCTATGGAAGTGGAACGCTTCTGGATTCAACAAAACCTATGGAGAACTCCTGGATCACCTCTGAAGACGAAAGAGGTGGGAGGTCCCAAGAGGCCGAAGGAGGCAAGAGGGAGGAGACGGAAGGGGAAGGGGGGGAAGGGGGAGGAGGATGAGTACGGGGAATGTCTGGGGGGCGGAGACGGAGGCTGCCAGAGGAGAAGGGGGAGGAAAGGAGGCGAGGTGGATGGACACTCAGGTCCTGGCGCGACGCGCCCACCGCGAAGCGGCCTGAGGCGAAGGAGGAGGGCAGGATTTGGGTCACCTAGCTTCGCGCATCGCGCTCCGCGATGTGCGACGCGCGGTTGTCTTCGCGCCCTCACGCCGCCACCTTGGAGAAGGCAGCTCTCTGGCTCAGGCCGCGAAGCGCGAGAATCCTCGCGCCACTTGGGGCGATCTGGAGGACGAGGGCAGCTGGAGGAGCATGGCAGGCGGTGGAGTGGAGGGGAGGTGGAAGGGACGAGAATGGAGGGGGAGGAGGGCAGGAGAAGGGCAGGAGGATGGCAGAACGAGGGGCACGAGGAGGGCAGGAGGAAAGGCAGGAGGAGGTGAACGGGGATGGGGATGAGGGGGAAGAGGGCAGGAAGCGAGGCAGGAGGAGGTGGATGGGATAGGGGATGATGGGGATGATGAGGAGCCCCCCCTCCCCCCTTTTCCTCCTCCCTCCGCTCCTCCCCCTGTCCCTGCCCCTCCGTCCCTCCCCCATCCTTCCCTCCCCTCCCCCTCCCCCTCTCTCCCCCCCCCCGCTCCCCTCTCTCTCCCTCCCCCCTCCCCCCTCCCCCTCGAGGAGGGCGGGAGCCCCGCGCGGGCTGCGGGGCACCCTGCAGAGCAGCTCTCGCCCTGCTCGAGCGCCCCGGCCTCCTCCCCCTCCCCTCCCCGCGGAAGACGCACGCCCCGTGGGCACTGCGAGCGCCCCCCGGGCTTGCGGCTCGGGTGAGCCCCCGTTCTGGGAGGGATCCGCCCTCCATCCTCCATCCTCCTCCCCCTCCTCCCTCCTCCTCCTCCTCCTCCTCCTCCTCCTCCTCCTCCACAATTACTCAATATGAATACTACTCTCCCTCTTCCCCTGATGACGTGCTTGGAGTGTTCGACCCCCCCCCCCGCGTACTGTTTTTTACACACAGGATTCCCGGGAGTTGGGTTGTCGCTTGCATTTTTTTCAAAATGCTGCTCTCGCTGAGGCGCCAGCCTCATTTTCGGGCCCCGCTCGTTCCGAATCGTGCTCCCGCTGCAGCGCTGGCCTCATTTCCGTGCTTCCGCTCGTTCCGAATCGTGCTCCCGCTGCAGCGCTGGCCTCATTTCCGCGCTTCCGCTCGTTTCGACTCGTGCTCCCGCTGCAGCGCTGGCGTCATTTCCCGTGCCATGCCACGGCATGCAATGCAATGCTAGGTTGATACTACGCTTTGCGGTGCTCTTCTACGCCATGCCATGCCGTGCTCTACAATGCATCGCGTACCCTTTCGGGATCATTGCCCTGCTCGACATCCGACTGTGCGAGTAGAGAGGGGATCTACGCCATGGTAAGGGATGGGAGGGAGGGGTAGGATGTCAGATATGACGCGAGCGCACCTAGCTTGCCCTCCTCCCCCTCCCCCTCCTCCCCCTCCTCCTCCTCCTCCTCCTCCTCCTCCCCCTCCTCCTCCTCCCCTTCCTCCTCCCCTCGCCGCCTCGGCCGCCCCGTGCCGCCTCGAATTGCAGAGAGCAGAACGTCCTGGCTTAGAGTGGCCCGCGAGGGGCATGACAAGCAGTCTACAGCATGCCACGCGCGCGCCGCCCGCCGTGCAAACTCAGAAGCGCGGCTCTCCCACTCCACTCTGCCCACTATCGAACTGCATGCGCACGTGCACGTCGGTCGGAAGAAGTAGGTAAAGACATGACGTAGGAAGGCGGATACAGTGGATTGGGTCCAGGCCCTCCCAGAGAGCAACAGAACACAGCAACAGCAAGCCAATCCTTGAAGTAGGAAGGCGCTTGAAATAGATTGGGATCTGGGAATCCAAAAATACCTACTTTCAACGACCGGCGTTTATCCTGACAAGCCAGATTCGCGAGTGAACGGGGAGGGAAGGGGAGGGAATAATGACTGGTGCCTTCCTTGGAGCTTTTATATATATACACATGAAACTTACTCGTCAAAATGCACTTTTCCTCCTAACACACAAAATTACAACAACATCGAACCCTCATATTTACCCACAAGACGAGGTATGACACGATACCAGCCACCCTCCCGTCGCAAGGCATACCATTTTCCATGGAAATTCGGAACCAGCGCATGAGAGTAGCCGGCTGAACCTAGGAAACAACACAGTGCCGCTGGGTGCAAGGACAACGGTCACTCTGATTAAAGCAGAAGAGGGCGATAACAGGGAGGAAGAGGAGGATAAAGGAGCCCAGGGACACACAAAAATAGGCACAAATCCCAGGATCCCCTATACTATCCAATAGTTTCTGGATTTTCGTCTTCCCATCCACTTACCGTATTTTCCTAGGAACCGACGGTTATTCGCGTCTGTGCGTTATTCCCTTCCTGAGAGGAGGAGGAGGAGGAGGAGGAGGAGGAGGAGGAGGAGGAGGAGGAGGAGGAGGAGGAGGAGGAAGGGCAGGAGGTGGAGCGTGCCAAATGGAGGAAGGGCAGGAGGAGGAGGCAGAGTAATAATAATAATAATGATAATAAGACAAATAATAATAGAAGAAGGTAAAGGACAGGCAGGAGCAGCAGCAACGACATGGGCTGCTTTCCTCAGCCAATCTGCTCGCGATGGCGGGCGCGAGCTGATCGGGCGCGAGCTGCCACAGCGGACGCCGACACGCACCACTTACACCGTCTCCAGGTCGAGGACCTTACGGTCGACCATCTCCAGGCGTCCTGGGGCACAGCCCATGATGCAGGTCACAGTGAACTCCAAGGAGAAGTGGCCGCCGAGGTAGGCCATGTCGCCCAGCTCGTACGGGCGACCGCTGATCACGTTCCATGTGTCATAGCCCAGCCGCTCCACTTTCCACACCTCGCGGCCCTTGATCACGTGGAAGTTGTCGCCATGCCCCGGCGTGTCGAGGATCGTGGCCTGCTCGGAAACCACGATGTCGCTGATGTTCGCGTGAACCTCCACGAGCCTGGCGAAGGGGGCGCTCGGAGCCGGTAGCCCAGCGACCAGAGTGGTCAGGTCTGCTCCAGGCGTCCAAGCCGCGTCGATACCCTCCATCAAATACTGGGCCTCGCCCCACGTGATCTCCACGACGGGGTAGGCCAACCGGAAGATGCGAGAGCAACTGATGTCGTCCTTCAGGCACATTTCCAGCAGCTCACCGGGCGTCTTGAACTTCAGCATCTTGCTCGCGTCCGCGACCGGGTCGCAGATCTTCCAGGACAGGTTGCTCGTGCTGGCGAGGTTGTTCCACCCGCCCAGCTGGAAGCCCATCGTGTTGGTGGCGTAATCGCCGCCGTTCAGGGTGTCGCAGTCGTTGGCCACGTAGCACCACTGCTTGTCGGTCATTGCATCCGCCGGGAAGGGGAGCAGGTCCACGTTGACACATGAGTCGTTCTTGAAATTCTTGAGGAAGTCGTTGCAGACCTTGTGCGGCAAGCCCGAGATCGGCTCGGTGGCGGCGTAGGCAGCGGAGAAGCCGAACTTGCTGAGGAAATAAAGTTCCTGGGCGCGGCCGCAGGCGGCCAGTCCGTCGTAATAGACCCCCGCCCAATTCATGCAGTCACACGACGACCGCCTCCCGGCCTTCCCTTTTTGTGTGGACACTTGGGCCTGCTGGCCCGCGAGGGCCTGCGCGAAGGCGAGGCAGGCCAGCACAGAGGACAATCTGGCCATCATGGCTTCGAGGCTGATGTAGAGGAAGCTTGCAGCACTGGACGTGCCAGAAGGAGTTGTGCAGTATCCACGCTTGGATCACGTGGCTGCGGAGGAGGAGAAGGCGGAGGAGGAGGCATGTCGCGAAGGTCGCCTTGGGTTCCTACCTCAGCCCGCGAAGCCCCGTGCAGTCGTCTGCCCCCCTTCCCTTTCTCGTTCGTGCGCCTTTGACGCGTCAGGAGCACTTCCTGCGCCGCACCACGCCAGTCCCTGTCCCCAGGCGGACTCTGTCCCCGCATGGGCCAGAAGGGTCTGGCTGCTTGGGTTTCGCCCCTCGGGTGGGTCAGACGAGGGCCAGATGGGCCTCAGATGGTTCGGGATGAACCCGGATGGGCTTTGGCCTCGCTCACCAAGAGCTCTTACGCTCTTACACGGAATCCCGGGACTCCCCAGCGATCCGGAGTCACCCGCGAGGCACTCGAGAAGGGGGATGGGGGGTGGGGAAGGAAGAGGAACAGGAGAACGCCGACTTTGACTTCGACCGCGTGGAGGTCGAAAATCCGAGTCCGTGAGAATCAGAACACCCGCCGGCCCAAAATACGCGCTGGCGGGCGCGAGCTGATCGGGCGCGAGCTGCCACAGCGGACGCCGACACGCACCACTTACACCGTCTCCAGGTCGAGGACCTTACGGTCGACCATCTCCAGGCGTCCTGGGGCACAGCCCATGATGCAGGTCACAGTGAACTCCAAGGAGAAGTGGCCGCCGAGGTAGGCCATGTCGCCCAGCTCGTACGGGCGACCGCTGATCACGTTCCATGTGTCATAGCCCAGCCGCTCCACTTTCCACACCTCGCGGCCCTTGATCACGTGGAAGTTGTCGCCATGCCCCGGCGTGTCGAGGATCGTGGCCTGCTCGGAAACCACGATGTCGCTGATGTTCGCGTGAACCTCCACGAGCCTGGCGAAGGGGGCGCTCGGAGCCGGTAGCCCAGCGACCAGAGTGGTCAGGCCTGCTCCAGGCGTCCAAGCCGCGTCGATACCCTCCATCAAATACTGGGCCTCGCCCCACGTGATCTCCACGACGGGGTAGGCCAACCGGAAGATGCGAGAGCAGCTGATGTCGTCCTTCAGGCACATTTCCAGCAGCTCACCGGGCGTCTTGAACTTCAGCATCTTGCTCGCGTCCGCGACCGGGTCGCAGATCTTCCAGGACAGGTTGCTCGTGCTGGCGAGGTTGTTCCACCCGCCCAGCTGGAAGCCCATCGTGTTGGTGGCGTAATCGCCGCCGTTCAGGGTGTCGCAGTCGTTGGCCACGTAGCACCACTGCTTGTCGGTCATTGCATCCGCCGGGAAGGGGAGCAGGTCCACGTTGACACAGGAGTCGTTCTTGAAATTCTTGAGGAAGTCGTTGCAGACCTTGTGCGGCAAGCCCGAGATCGGCTCGGTGGCGGCGTAGGCAGCGGAGAAGCCGAATTTGCTGAGGAAATAAAGTTCCTGGGCGCGGCCGCAGGCGGCCAGTCCGTCGTAGTAGACCCCCGCCCAATTCATGCAGTCACACGACGACCGCCTCCCGGCCTTCCCTTTTTGTGTGGACACTTGGGCCTGCTGGCCCGCGAGGGCCTGCGCGAAGGCGAGGCAGGCCAGCACAGAGGACAATCTGGCCATCATGGCTTCGAGGCTGATGTAGAGGAAGCTTGCAGCACTGGACGTGCCAGAAGGAGTTGTGCAGTATCCACGCTTGGATCACGTGGCTGCGGAGGAGGAGAAGGCGGAGGAGGAGGCATGTCGCGAAGGTCGCCTTGGGTTCCTACCTCAGCCCGCGAAGCCCCGTGCAGTCGTCTGCCCCCCTTCCCTTTCTCGTTCGTGCGCCTTTGACGCGTCAGGAGCACTTCCTGCGCCGCACCACGCCAGTCCCTGTCCCCAGGCGGACTCTGTCCCCGCATGGGCCAGAAGGGTCTGGCTGCTTGGGTTTCGCCCCTCGGGTGGGTCAGACGAGGGCCAGATGGGCCTCAGATGGTTCGGGATGAACCCGGATGGGCTTTGGCCTCGCTCACCAAGAGCTCTTACGCTCTTACACGGAATCCCGGGACTCCCCAGCGATCCGGAGTCACCCGCGAGGCACTCGAGAAGGGGGATGGGGGGTGGGGAAGGAAGAGGAACAGGAGAACGCCGACTTTGACTTCGACCGCGTGGAGGTCGAAAATCCGAGTCCGTGAGAATCAGAACACCCGCCGGCCCAAAATACGCGCTGGCGGGCGCGAGCTGATCGGGCGCGAGCTGCCACAGCGGACGCCGACACGCACCACTTACACCGTCTCCAGGTCGAGGACCTTACGGTCGACCATCTCCAGGCGTCCTGGGGCACAGCCCATGATGCAGGTCACAGTGAACTCCAAGGAGAAGTGGCCGCCGAGGTAGGCCATGTCGCCCAGCTCGTACGGGCGACCGCTGATCACGTTCCATGTGTCATAGCCCAGCCGCTCCACTTTCCACACCTCGCGGCCCTTGATCACGTGGAAGTTGTCGCCATGCCCCGGCGTGTCGAGGATCGTGGCCTGCTCGGAAACCACGATGTCGCTGATGTTCGCGTGAACCTCCACGAGCCTGGCGAAGGGGGCGCTCGGAGCCGGTAGCCCAGCGACCAGAGTGGTCAGGCCTGCTCCAGGCGTCCAAGCCGCGTCGATACCCTCCATCAAATACTGGGCCTCGCCCCACGTGATCTCCACGACGGGGTAGGCCAACCGGAAGATGCGAGAGCAGCTGATGTCGTCCTTCAGGCACATTTCCAGCAGCTCACCGGGCGTCTTGAACTTCAGCATCTTGCTCGCGTCCGCGACCGGGTCGCAGATCTTCCAGGACAGGTTGCTCGTGCTGGCGAGGTTGTTCCACCCGCCCAGCTGGAAGCCCATCGTGTTGGTGGCGTAATCGCCGCCGTTCAGGGTGTCGCAGTCGTTGGCCACGTAGCACCACTGCTTGTCGGTCATTGCATCCGCCGGGAAGGGGAGCAGGTCCACGTTGACACAGGAGTCGTTCTTGAAATTCTTGAGGAAGTCGTTGCAGACCTTGTGCGGCAAGCCCGAGATCGGCTCGGTGGCGGCGTAGGCAGCGGAGAAGCCGAACTTGCTGAGGAAATAAAGTTCCTGGGCGCGGCCGCAGGCGGCCAGTCCGTCGTAGTAGACCCCCGCCCAATTCATGCAGTCACACGACGACCGCCTCCCGGCCTTCCCTTGTTGTGTGGACACTTGGGCCTGCTGGCCCGCGAGGGCCTGCGCGAAGGCGAGGCAGGCCAGCACAGAGGACACCCTGGCCATCATGGCTTCGAGGCTGATGTAAAGGAAGCTTGCAACAATCGCAGTGCCTCAGGTCTTGTGCAATATCCGCGCTTGACACACGCGGCTGCGGAGGAGGAGGAGCAGTAGAAGGCATAACGCAGCTATCGCCATGTGTGTCCCGTGCACCCTCTGGCACCCCGCCATCGTCTGTCCGCCGCTTCTACAGTCGGGCCGCTGAAAGAAGGGACGATGAACAAGGAACGAAGCCCCGCGCCTGCGTGCACGAGGAAGGCTAGAGGAAAAGTCATGGAAGGACCTAAGGAATACCGAGCCCCTTTCTTACCCAAACTGTTCCTTATTTCAGCGACTTGGCTGTACCGCAGCCCGCGAAGCACCTTGCCGCTGTTTGCCACCTACCGCTTCATCGGTGCGCCCTGAAAAATCAGAGGCGTTTGGGCCCACCGGATTGTGGTATCGGGCGGACTCTTCGCCTGGATGGGCCGGACAGGCTCAGATGCCCGGACTGGGCTCTGGGGAATGGCCAGATGTATGCCAAGCGGGCTGATATGCCCCACGGGTCCTGGCCCTGAACATGTACATATAAATATATTTTTATATATATATATATATATATATAATATATATATATATATATATATATTCACACACACTAGAACCAACGCGCGCGCTTCGCGCGCGCTCAGGTTCTAACCCAGGGCGCTGGAAGATCTCGGACAGCGCTATCGAGCACAGGCGCGTGACATAGTCGTGCCTCCTTAGGGCCTCTTGGGAATCTCTTGGGTCTTCGCGGGGACATCTGAAGGGCTTCCGGAAGATTCTCCGTGCTTCCTCAATTGGCTGCTGGAAGCACCTCTTCGATGCTTCTTTAGGGGGGGCGTCTTGGGGCTTGTTGGGGTCCCTTGGGGGCAGGCGTCTTAGAGCGATCTTTGGCCGTCTCGGGGCCCTCTTGGATCATTTTGGGGGCCCCCTGGGGCCGTCTTGGAGGCCTCTTGGGCGTCTTGAGGCCTCTTGGAGGCTGGGGAGGGGGTATCAAAAAGGGGACCCGATGTCACGGAGGTGGGCGGGGCTCTTTCGCTGTTGAAAACCTAACAACAATCAACGAGTCTGGCTTCTTGGTGCTCTTTGGGAAGGCAGTTTGGAGACTTGTAAGGGGCTCAGAGGAGGCAGCTCGGAGGCCTTGTGGGGGCTGTTTTTGGAAGCTCTGGGGGTCCATTTTGGGTCTTCAAGGCGTCTGGGGCTTGCTGGGCCTCGGGAGGGTCCTGGAGGCGTCTCGGGAGCTTCTTGGGGCCTCCTGTTCCCACTTTTGGACCCATCTTGAGCATGTGCCAGGGCGCTTTGGGGCCGTCTTGGGCGGTTCCTGGGCAGTCTCGAAGCTTGATTGGGCTATCTTGGCGCTCTCTTGGAAGCCTTTTTGGCTGTCTTGGGGCGGTCTTGGAGGTCTCTTCGGCCTTCTTGGATCGTTGGGAGCTCGAAAACGTGAGAGTTGTGCCTCTTGGGGCTCTCTCGGGGGACCTCTTGGACCTTTCTTGGGGTCCTAATGGGCTGGGTATTGGATGACTTGGGCCTATCGTGGACTATGTCGGCGCCATCTCGCCATCGCTCGGACGTCCATTCCTCGTGTATGGTTCGGTTTCGTGCGTGGTTTTTTCGCCAAATGATCAAGGATGCTCCTCGATGGTCCCCGCCGGGACATTATCCCGGCAAAGCAACCTAACAGCGATGTCTAGGAGCATATCTGGAAGCATTCCCCTTACGATTCAGATGAGAATCCTGTTGTAGAATTCTGCTGTTCTCGCAGTCGTAGTCGCATTCGCGATGGCAGTCGCAGTGGCAACGGCAGTCGCAGTCACAGCCTCAGCCTGCCTCGGCCTCAGCCTCAGCCTGCCTCAGCCTCAGCCTGCCTCAGCCTCATCCGCAGCCTGCTTCAGCCTCAACATGTCTGCCTTCAGCCTCGGCCTCAGCCTCAGCCTGCCTCAGCCTCACCCTGCATCAGCCTCAGCCTCAGCCTCAGCCTGCCTCAGCATCAGCCTGCCTCAGCCTCAGCCTCAGCCTGCCTCTGCCTCAGCCTCAGCCTGCTTCAGCCTCAGCCTCAGTCTGCCTTCAGCCTCGGCCTCAGCCTCAGCCTGCCTCAGCCTCAGCCTCAGCCTCAGCCTCAGCCTCAGCCTCAGCCTCAGCCTGCCTCAGCATCAGCCTGCCTCAGCCTCAGCCTCAGCCTGCCTCAGCCTCAGCCTCAGCCTGCTTCAGCCTCAGCCTCAGTCTGCCTTCAGCCTCGGCCTCAGCCTCAGCCTGCCTCAGCCTCAGCCTGCATCAGCCTCAGCCTCAGCCTCAGCCTGCCTCAGCATCAGCCTGCCTCAGCCTCAGCCTCAGCCTGCCTGCCTCAGCCTCAGCCTCAGCCTGCTTCAGCCTCAGCCTCAGTCTGCCTTCAGCCTCAGCCTGCCTCAGCCTCAGCCTGCACAGCCTCAGCCTCAGCCTCAGCCTGCCTCAGCATCAGCCTGCCTCAGCCTCAGCCTCAGCCTGCCTCAGCCTCAGCCTCAGCCTGCTTCAGCCTCAGCCTCAGTCTGCCTTCAGCCTCGGCCTCAGCCTCCGCCTGCCTCAGCCTCAGCCTGCAGCCTCAGCCTCAGCCTCAGCCTGCCTCAGCTCAGCCTGCCTCAGCCTCAGCCTCAGCCTGCCTCAGCCTCAGCCGCAGCCTGCTTCAGACTCAACCTGAGTCTGCCTCAGCCTCTCAGCCTCAGCCTGCCTCAGCCTCAGCCTGCCTCAGCCTCAGCCTCAGCCTCAGCCTCAGCCTCAGCCTGCTCAGCCTCAGCCTCAGCCTCAGCCTCAGCCTCAGCCTCAGCCTCAGCCCTCAGCCTCAGCCTCAGCCTCAGCCTCAGCCTCAGCCTGCCTCAGCCTCAGCCTCAGCCTCAGCCTCAGCCTCAGCCTCAGCCTCAGCCTCAGCCTGCTTCAGCCTCAGCCTCAGTCAGCCTCTCAGCCTCAGCCTGCCTCAGCCTCAGCCTGCATCAGCCTCAGCCTCAGCCTCAGCCTGCCTCAGCATCAGCCTGCCTCAGCCTCAGCCTCAGCCTGCCTCAGCCTCAGCCTCAGCCTGCTTCAGCCTCAGCCTCAGTCTGCCTTCAGCCTCGGCCTCAGCCTCAGCCTGCCTCAGCCTCAGCCTGCCTCAGCCTGAGCATCAGCCTGCCTCAGCATTCAAAATGTGGCCCGGGAATGGAGTTCTGGGAACTCGAAGACCACGAAGTGGCCTACAGTTGTCTCCGGGCACTCAAAATGTGGCCCGGGAATGGAGTTCTGGGAACTCGAAGACCACGAAGTGGCCTACAGTTGGCTCCGGTTATTCAAAATGTGGCCCGGGAATGGAGTTCTGGGAACGCGAAGACCACGAAGTGGCCTACAGTTGGCTCCGGGCATTCAGAATGTGGCCCGGGAATGGAGCTCTGGGGCCTCGAAGACCAAGAATTCAAATGTATCC